GTTGTTTTTGTTTTTCGTCAGTTTTCACCTGGTTTGATATTTATATTTATATTTACCTCTGAGAGTCATTTTTGGGCAATGCCCTGATTTTATTCTGAGCTTTAAAGGGATTTTAAAAGGGTAATACCAAAAAAGCCAGTACAGATTTGCACATGGACAGAGCTGGGGCTGTTAACTTATCAGGTTGTACAAGAGTACTAATCAGTTCCTCCACAGTTATAGTGTTGTTATGGAGCTATATCTGAGTGGAAGACTTATGAGAACCAGACCACATTTTAACAAATCTGATGTCTGAACATTATATATGTATATAGTGAAAGTTGGGGAAATGTCCACTTAAAGAAAATCATGGCAGACAGAATCCTCTCATAGCTTGAGAGTGGTTCCAGATTCTTTGTGCGCCAGTAATCCTGTACAGTATTGTTCAGGTACGAGGCAAACTGTAAATGATGATGAAACATTTTTTACCAAAAACTATTTTGGTAGTCTCTTATTGTGTTCATGCCCCTTAATGTATTGATAGCCATATTGTGAACTTTGGACAGAACTGGGTTAGCTGTTTCTGAACCCTGTTTTCATGCTATGTTATTCTAAAGACAGGGTTATTTTGTTTTGGAACCAAATCAGACGTTAATGAAACTCGAAGTCTGTACTGTAGTAACTGTAGTGTCTAGACCTAGTCTTTGTCGTTTTTAGTGCCTTAATGTAACCAAATGAATTTTTGAAGAATTGATGCCAATGTAGAAATCTCTGATATATATGACTCAAACTTGGGTGTGTAGTGTGTAAATTCTTTGCTCTACTGCCCTTCCATTTTCCAAATGCAGACTTATTTGCTTTAAAAAATATTGATACTGTGTACAAAGCAAGATTAAACATTACATTCAGGGATATGAAAATAATGTAGGGACGCTTGTGTCCAGAAACATGAATCAATAGAACATTTCTTCAGGGAGACACCGATGGTGATTTTGGTTTGTACCCCACTAAGTTTCTTTCTTTCCCCCATTCAGAATTACAACCACGGCGTAAGTCTGCAAGTCAGTTATTTCTGATCTACTACCCTCAAAAAGAATATTAAAATACACCAATACACATGAAATCCTCTCACAAATGTTTACACATTCTATTCATTTAACAACACACTTATGATACAGAATGAATATTTGCACAGAACAGATTTCTTTTTAAAAAAAAAATCAGCATAGAACAAACAGCTGGTTTGACATGAGTCATCAGAGGACACCTTCTTTTCTTCACTAAGTGTTGGTAACCCAATGAGAAAGCAGTAGGGGAAAAGAACAGTATACTTACATTTAAAAACACAAGCTCAAGTCTTAAATGCTTTAAAGGTTTTGGACATGGTGACAGCCAAGCTTGCAACACTTATAACTATTCTGATAAGCCAGTCTGTTCTACAGACTAGGTATTATTTTAAAAACTAAACGAGGCCACCTTCTAAAGCAGCAGTCCCCAACCCCTGGGCCTCGGACCGGTACCGGTCCGTGAGTCGTTTGGCACCAGGCCGCGAGAGTTGAGGCTCAGGTGTGAAATGTATGGTTTTCAGGGTTTTTATCAGTTTTCAGTGTTATTTTGTTATCGTTTTTATCATTAACTCGGTTTTCCTGGGTCTTTTCACGTGTGTTATGAATAAATCTTCTTCTTTTCGGTACCGGTACTAGTTTTATTTTGTTGTATTTATCCGTGACACCTTAAAGGCCGGTCCCTGAAAATATTGTCGCGCATAAACCGGTCCGTGGCACAAAAAAGGTTGGGGACCGCTGTTCTAAAGGACTGATCACAGCAGGCGTTAAATAAAACACAATGAGCAAACACAAAAGTCTACTGTGTTATACCGGCAACTGGATTTTACATGCAGTTTTGGCCAGGTAAACACCACGATAAGGAATGATGAACTTTTTCTGTTCGGTTTTGAAGGTGTTTTTTCATGAAAAAAAGCATCACACTTATAGCTTATCTTAACAGCATGAATGTCAGTGTTTGATAGTCTCTTAAAAATAATCTCTTTAGTTAATCACACAGCTCAATACAGTTTTTTTCTCTACATGGGGAAAACATTGACAGACAAGTGAGTTCATTTGCAAGATCAAGTGCTTTGAACTGCAGCTTTTAGTCAAACCATGAAACTATTTTGTTCTTTTTTTCTTTCACACATTTGAAAACAAATTTACATCAAGTTCCTCTTATATTTGGTCACACTGTCATCCTGGTATTAAATGCCATCAAAGTGCTACTAATGTCTTTCGAGGTCTCAGAATTTGGCATTTTTAAATAAACACCAATTCAAAGAATCTTATCAGAGGAGTTTGAGCTCATCATGGCCAGTTGAATGTCCTACCAGTGATCTGGTAAAACTTCTGATTGAAGGGATGAAAGAATTTTTGCAGTTTAGTCACTACTGATGGGTCCACCTCCGGATGGGTGCGGCCCTTGCTGCCTGCCAGGCACTTGTTGAAGACAATGTTAAATCGCAGACAATAAAATCCCCTGGTGGCATTGAAGTACAGGTTATACTGGCTGATCCTGGAGGGGAGGTTAAGGAAGCGCTCAACAAGCTGCAGCTCTGGCAGCGGGTCTGTAATAAGGCGATCCCCATCCACAATGTGAAACTGCTCCACGGGAAAGTACTTCAACCAACGCTCCAAATGTTTGGTGTAGATGCTGGTCCGGACTGCTTTGTATTTCGTGTTCACCTCGCAGGTGTTGGTGTCAATGACCAGCTTCTCAAACTTGTGGTAGGTCTTGTTTTTGCGCTCCTTGCCCTCCAGCACTTGGGTATAGTCCGACACAGCTCTGGTGGTAGGCTCGCGCACAATGATCAGCAACTTGATGGAAGAGTTCATCTTGAATATCCGTTCAGGGACTTCCTCTGTGATGAAGTAAGCGGGGCTCTTTTCAATGGTGATCTGATGAGGGAAGGAGAAGGGCATTTTCCCCCTGTACCAGTCGATGCCACGAGCGTAATTTTGGTCATTGTCAAAGAAGTGGATCTCTTGTGAAGCCTTGACAACTGCTGGATGCAGGTTGAGCATTTCCAGCAGGGCACGGGTGCCACCTTTACGCACCCCGATGATAATGGCCTGAGGCAGTTGCTGGACCAGGTTGTGCAGGCGAATTTGCTCTTTGGTGGCATTGCCCTTACGGATTTCATGTAGGAGGCCACGCTTAAACTGCAGAGTGCGGAGAGGAATTTGCTCTGGTTCAGGGGCGGGCAGTCTGCTGTCAACTGGGCAAATGGGCTGTAGCCTGAAACACAGGAAAAGAACGCATTTATCTTATTTTGTATCTCATTCTATAAGCAATTTTATCGCTCATAGAATACATTTATCACTTTAATCTTGACTAAATAAGCTACTTGAATGTAAAACTTATTATTAATGGAACAATTCTCTGAAGCTAATGCAAAGAAACATCCTGAAACATCTATGACCTTCTGAGACCTCTGAAAAGCCTGTGGTATGTTAAGACTAAGGCTTTTGCAGCAGATGTTTAAAGTACTGTGAGTTGCAAGTTAGAGCCACCACAACAGACTCGTCCTAGCACAAGGACACAGCAAGCATAAAGTCACCCACTGGTTTGTCCTGTTTCTGGGGTATTGAACTGAATAT